GGGGGGGGGTGGTCGCTGGGAGAAGGGGTTGGAAATAGGCTTAAAGCGGGGCTGAAAGTTGATCGTGGGACCGAGTGTCAGGACTGGGGCGCGTGATGGGAGCTTTGGGGTTAAGTGTCGGTACTTGAGCTCCGGGCTTCCACGTTCGGCGAGGTGGGACACGCAGACATGGCAGCTCAGGCTTAACCCCCTGAGATGCGATTCAAGAATTGTTTAATTATCTTTAACCAGCCCGCTTCCCCTTCTCTCAAGGGGTCTAGAGTCGTGTTCTCTGAAGTGTTTGGAAGGAAAGAAGGACCAAGGTTCTTCTGACAGCTTAGCCCCCGGGAGACATTCAGTGAACTGAAGGCTCAGGGCTCCCACGCTAAGTGGGAGGAAACAAGGTCCTGAAGTGCTTGCCCTCCCCACCTGCAGGCCGCTACCATGAGATTAAATGAGAACATCTTGCTGCTGGGAAAGAAGGTGGTGCTGGTACCCTACACCTCAGAGCACGTGCCTAGGTAAGGGTCCACCTAACATGGGGTGCAAGCCAGTTCTCCAAGGTGCAGCCAGGAGGGCCTCCCTTCCTTAGCCCCGACCTCAGAGGCTATTTCCTCTAAGAAGGAGAAGCATCATCGCTTGGAGCAGTAATGACAGAAAAAAGTGGATGCTGAAGCAGAGGAGGACGACTTCCCTTCAAGTTACTCATCCCCCGCTTTTCCCTTTCATCCTCCCAGCTTCCTTTTTGGACTTTCAGCAAGGAATTATTTAAAGTGAATGTGTGTAAGAAAAGAAGGAACTGCCCAATTGTAAATGAGTGACGTTCTTCTGGTGTCAGTGAATATGCTCCGTTCTTGAAGACTTAATGTCAGCTTGTCATAAAGCTGAGCTGATGGGTTGTTCTGATGTCTACTGTTTTTTTAATTTTCTTTTTTTTTTTTTTTGAACGTTTATTTATTTTTGGGACAGAGAGAGACAGAGCATGAACGGGGGAGGGGCAGAGAGAGAGGGAGACACAGAATCGGAAACAGGCTCCAGGCTCCGAGCCATCAGACCAGAGCCTGACGCGGGGCTCGAACTCACGGACCGCGAGATCGTGACCTGGCTGAAGTCGGACGCTTAACCGACTGCGCCACCCAGGCGCCCCTGATGTCTACTGTTTTTAAGAGGCCAGAACTGAGTGGCAGGGTCAGACTCGTGTGTGTGTGTGTGGGGGGGGGGGGGTGGTAATTGGCAATTGACAGATGTCTCGTAGACTGGGATGGTGCGGATGTGGGGGTGTATTCTCTATTTGCAGTTTTTCTTTTTGGGGGTTCCTGTGCTCGGCCTTTGTGGAGATCTGTCCAGCCTTCCTTACTGAGGTCAGCCTGCTATACACTTCCACTCAGGAATTTGAGGAATGTTTGAGTTCAGACTGCTCCCCCGCACTGACCCCTGAGACCGGATGGGAAGCTGGACAGACAGAACTGATCCCTCCTGCTGCTCTCTTGTAGGACCAGCCTGCTTCTGGGTCTTGTGCCGGTGGCTCTCTGTCTTAGGAACTACTGTGACCCTTTCCTTGGGTCTTTTATGAGCCCTGTGTTAGCCTTGTGGGCCTCTCTTTTCTACCAATTTCCTCATCTCATAAAATGTCAGGCCCGTGCTTCTGAATCAGTCCTGCATGCCGAAGGTCATCCCCCTGTCCCTGCAGGTACCACGAGTGGATGAAATCAGAGGAGCTGCAGCGTTTGACAGCCTCTGAGCCCCTGACCCTGGAGCAAGAGTATTCGATGCAGCAGAGCTGGCGGGAAGATGCAGACAGTGAGAAGCAGAAGCCCTGTGCTGGCTCCAGAGGCAGTCTCCTGGTTCCCTCTCTCCCTTTCTCATTCCCAGCTGTAGCCCTTCCAGGGCCACAGAAACTTTGTGAAAAGCCCTTCATGAAAAACCCGGAAAGTGCCTGAAACCGTCATACTCTTATGCCCACTGAAGCCAGTCCCCGTGGCTGACGCTTCTGTCTTCTTCCCCACTCACTGCATCAGGCCTGGGAGAGAGAGTAAAGCATTTGGGGCTCTGGCTGTAAATTGAGGCCCTGCCCCTCACATCTCTTGCACAAACCCAGTTGTGGTTACTGCTCCCTGAGAATACAGCTGCTGTTCAGGGGAGACTGTCTTTTCCTGCGTGAGGCAAATTTAGGGCTTTGTAATCCGCTAAAGGGAGCTCTGGGCCCCTTTTTCTCCTGGCGGACAGAGGCGATGTTCTGCAGCTCTCTGGTTTGGGTGGGAAGACTGTCGTTACTCCCCTGCTTTGGGGAGTGGAGGCGATAACCCTGTTGCCTCCCTCCTCAGAATGCACATTCATTGTGCTGGATGCAGAGAAGTGGCAGGCCCAGCCACGCACCACTGAAGAGAGCTGCATGGCGGGAGATGTGAACCTCTTCCTCACAGATCCAGGGGACCCCTCCTTGGGGGAGATTGAGGTCATGATTGCAGGTTTGTTCCACCTGGCCCTGCCTTCCCTCCCTTCTGGCCCTCGATCTGCTGAACCGTAAGCCAGCTGGGGCTGCAGAGGGTCCTCAACTCAATGGAAGGTTCCACGTTAGTAAGCCCAGCACCTAGTGGCTCACCCGTGGAGGTTTCCTTTATTCCCATGTTATGCTTAGATGCGAATTTAACCTTTGGTTTGGGGGTCTTCCAACTTCATCATGCCCCATCCTTGCTGGGGGGGGGGGCGGGACTGGGCACTGGGGACCCTCCCAAAATAAATGAGCATATCTGGAGCATCTTCCCATGCTGTGGGAGGAGCCCCTCTAGTTTCTGTCCTTCTTGGTCCACGGCCTTTCCCCAAAACTGTCCTCCTGAGGCAGCACACTGAGGTTAAAGGGTCAGCTTTGGGGTCAGGTTGCTGGGGGTCTCTAAGCTGTGAGCGCTTGTGCAGGTCATTTTAATTTCTGTGTCTGTATTATTATTTGCACAATGGTAATAATAGTACTGTGTAGGGCTGCGAGGGATGAGATGAGGTTTTAGCTGTCCAGGACCTGCGGTGGAGCCTGGCACACAGCATCAGTGACTATCATTGTTTTTCTTAGAGCCCAGCTGCAGGGGCAAAGGCTTTGGCACCGAGGCTGTTCTCATGATGATGTCTTATGGTAAGGAAGTCTGAGCAGACACTGGGAGAAGTGGCCAGGCCCAGGTGAGGGTGAGGGCACATGAGGGCATGTTGGGAGTGGGCCTTCTCCAGGCCTGAGGGTGGTGGTGGGGGGGGGGCAGGTGACAGGTGCCTCCAAGGCAAAATGGGACAGGAAGGACAGGAGGTGTGTGTGGGAGGGGGGCTTCACCCTGTGGCTTGTCGCTCTCTTTTGATCTTCTCTGGGAGGAGTGTCCAAGCTAGGTCTGACCAAGTTTGAGGCTAAAATTGGGCAAGGAAATGAACCAAGTATCCGGATGTTCCGGAAGCTTCACTTTGAGCAGGTAAGGATGTCACTGGTGGGAGGGTGAGGCCTGGGCGGTGAGCCCCAGTGGTGCTAGAGCTCATAGCTGTAACTTAGCTGGCTCTGCTCTCTCTGGTTCACATAGGTGGCTGTGAGTAGCATCTTTCAAGAGGTGACGCTCAGACTGACAGTGACTGAACATGAGCGGCAGTGGCTTCTGGAGCAGACCAGCCATGTGCAAGAGAAGTGCTATAGAGATGGGCTGTCAGAGTCCCGTTGACCACTGACCTTGCGGGCAGCCACCCTCTGTGAATGGGGGTGGTGGGACCACGCAGTCCAAAGGAGGTGAACCTTTGAGGCCTTTGGGGCAGAGTGCTTCTACCTCCATCTAGCCTGGGAGCCTCCTTTTGGGGCCCTTCAGATTCTGGGCTGGACTTACCTTGGCCTCCCTCAGGCTGGCAGTGTGGATGAACTGCTCCAGGGCTGGCCAGGAGAAACCTGGAGTGGGCTCTCGGACCTGGAGTGGACAGCACGAATCCACCGGAGGCAGGGTGGATGTGGGAACAGAGGTGAATGGGGGCCTGGTGAATGGCCAGGACGCCCCCTTTCCCTTGGAAGGGCAGAGGCGGTGCCCTGGAGTGGAGGCCCTGACCTGGAGTAAAGTGTACTGCACGGCACTTTCCCCTGCTTTCTCCTTGGGCCTCAGTGGTGAGCCACCAGAAGGTCCAGCCTGCGGCGTCTAGTCCAGCGTGGTAGGATCAGGGCAGGAGGAGCTCAGTCTGCTTTTGTCCTGCAGAAGTAGGCTAAGTGTGACCCCAAGAAGTTTGGAAGTGAACGAGCTAGGCCCTGAAAAACAGGAGGCTTGGAAAGTGAGCATGTGTCCTTTGTCCTTGCTGCTTCTCTTTGGACCCAGGAGTGAGTTTTGGATGCAGCTGCTTGTGGCTGAAGCACCGCTCTGTTGAAGCCTGGAGCCTCTGCTCAGTTGCAAGGGCTGCAGGAGGAAGCAGAAGCCACTCAGCGGTACCTTCCTGAAGGTACCTGTGATCTCTTACTCTCCACCCCTCACTTCTCTGCCTCCGGGAGCAGCTGCACCTGACAGAGCCACAAGGAGGCGCCAGAGGCACAGGTTCGGGACCGCCAGGCTGCCTGGTGCTTTAACAGGCAGAGAGGGAGGGGGTGGGGGCTGGGGGAACGCCCCTGGATTCCTAACTGTCCAGTCATCTGCGGTGGTTATCAAGGCCAGACACGTTTCAAAACAGTCACGGAAGAGACCCTCAAGGGTACCTAGGGTATTCCCAAGGGGAGGAAACCTGCAGGTGAATTGCAGTGATTTGCTCAAGGTGTCGGAGCATTTGATGGCAGAGCCAGAACTACTGCTGAGGCCCTCAGTTCCCAGTCCCCTTGATCCTGGTGAATCCCACTAGAATCTGACTGCATTTGGAAGCCCCCTTTGTACTGTGTCCGGCCCCTCAGTGGTAGGGAAGGGGTAGGAGTTCTGGCCTTCAGCTTAGTCAGAGGCCCCCAGGGCTTCCCTACTCAACAGGTGAGGTAGGGAGGGGTCCCTCCACTGCCCTGTGGGGCAGTCTTCAGGCCTTGCTTACCTGAAGGGACCTCGACATGGGCCAAAGGATAATGGCAAGGTTAGGAGGGGGCGAGCCAGACCCCAGGCCGTTGGTGCCGTGAAAAGGTTTGGAATGGTTTCTCTTACCACTGGTGGGACTCTAAGCCCTAACTAGAGACCAAGATGTCCAGATAGTGACTCATTCTTAACTCCCTTTGATTAGCTGTCTCTTGCAGCATCAACTTCTCTTCCTTCTCTGCAAGCACCAACCCAGGAGCCTCTGGGCCTGGCAGTGTCAGCCCTTGCGGGCCACTTTGGCAGGCTTCTGGGATGTGGCCTCACGTGCCACAGGTGTAAGAGCCCTGGATCTTTTTGAGGAGGAGCAGGGCATTTTGCCCTTGGAAAGTCCCTTCCACCGCACCTGACACAGAGCATGTCCTGGGACTCAGTGGGCTGGGTTTGTTTTCCCCTAGTCCTGGAGAGCTGCCCTCCAATCCTGTCCACGGCCAGATAAGATAGAAAATCTGGTGCCAGCTCAGCCCACTCCAGGGGATCCTGCACCCCACTGGCTGAGTGGAAAGATCAAAGCCAAGTTTTCTATTCCAAATGCCGCTCCATTTGGGATTCACAGTTTCAGCGCTCTTGAATTAAAACTGCATAAAGCCTTCTGGCTGTGTGGATCTTACCTCCCACTTCCTACAACTGTTTCTCTGGGGCAGGACTTGTGCAAAGCTCAGGCAGCTGCAGGGCCCAAGGCCCTCTGATTTATAGCTGCCCACATTCTGTTCCCTGGCCTGGAGTCAGAGAGCCCTGGACTGTCTTCCCGTCCAGCTGTACCCTACCCCGTCAGCCAGAGGCTACCCAGGGCTCTAAAGGAAGACACAGAGGCCAAGGCGGTTTGGAAGCCAGTTGAATTTCTGATGGGAGTTTCCTTACAGTGGGGTGGCTGGGCAGGAGGTGGCCAGACCCTCCCCATGTTGCCCGGGGCTCCCGGTGGTGGGGGGGGGGGGGCGGCGTGTAGTAGGAGCAAAAACAAAGTTTAAGGCTAAGGTTGCTGCTATATCCTGGATGCAACAACCTGGAAAATCATGTTAATCAAGGAAACAAAAATCCCTCTAAACTCTGTCTGTGGTACTGCACTCAAAAAAAAAAAAAAAAAAAAAAAAAAAATCAAATGAACAAAAGTAAATGCCCCAGCCGCAGCTCTGAGAACGACGGGCCCCTGTCCATTCCACAGCGTTGCTGTAATCAGCAGTCCTTGATTAACCTTTGACTCATCACTTGGGGTCGTGAAAGAACAGGACCTCTTGCCTGTCCCCAGGTCCTTGCTTGGTATGGGTTTCACTGAGGTCCCAGGGGTGTGGTGAGGGCGCCCCTGGTAGGCTGAAGCACGCAGGAGACGCGGGCCAGAGTCTGCTTGCTGACTGGGGCAGGTTGGAAACATTGACCTTGCCCGAGGTAAGGGAAGAGCACGGTTCTCTAGAAAAATCAGATTCACCGATAGAGGAGGGACGCTGGTGCTGATTTGTGTGTAGATTAGGGAGGGGAGTGAGTGGGGAGGAGGGAGAGGGAGCTGGCTCGGGTGGGGCAGGGGGGCTGGCCCAGTCGCACCAGCTTTCCCTGGTGCCCGCAGGAGGACACTCAGAAGTTGCTGAAGAGTTCGTTTTTCTTGCTCCAGTCCATCTGCGGAGCCCGCTTGTTGCTGCGTTTCTGGTGAGCCCTCTCTTTGGCCACGGCCAGGGAGATGTTGAAGTCCAGGATGGGGTCAGAGGAGGAAGAGGTAGACGAGGGTGCTGTGGAGTCCTGTTTCCTGGGGCTGTCTTGGGAATTCAGCTGCAAAGAGGAGGAGGCGGCGGCAGAGGGCCGGGAGTCAGTGCCTGGCGAGGCGTCCCGGTCCTCAGCCTCGGCAAGGTGGCCGGCTCCCTTGGGGCAGTGCCCAGGGAAGCCAGGTCACAAGAACAGAACGTGGCATAGCATGTGACCTCCAAGGCAGGCTGGCGTGCCAGGAACGAGCATGGCCTGGGAATGGGCTTCCCGTAACTCAGTGCCACCCTCTGCCCGCCCGCCCAGGCAGCCTACCTCCTCACTGGTATCACTGGAGGTGGATCTTGCCAGGGCTGATCTGGGGCTCTCAGATGCTACCTCAGCCAGGACTTCACGGCTGTTCTCCTGAAACAGAGAGGAGGGGTGTGGGTTGGCAAGGGATGGGGTGGGGGAGTCCTGAATAAGAGAGGAGCCCCCAGGGGAGACCGGTGCCCAGTCAGAGAAGCTCCCCTCAAACCTTTGACACCCACCCCAAAGCCCCACTGCCTGAGCCTGGCGGGGCCCCTCGGGGATTGACAGTTTTACATTCCTCTAAGGATCAGAGGGCAGCCTGGTTCCACCACCCAGGTGGGAGTGACCGTTGTGGGATTAGCGGAACTGTTCACACAGAACCCCCTCCCCAGCCCTCCCGAAGGAGCCTTCAGGGTTGACTAGCCTTTGGAGCCAATGACCATGGAGGGGCTTCATGGAGGGTAAGGCACAGAGAGCCTCCGCTTGGCACCGGGAACACGTGTGATACTCCCTGAATTCCTTCTGGCCTACCTGTTTACTTGGACTTGACCCTAGGAATCTTGAAACCTTTACCCCAAAGTAACCAAGAAGGGCTTTGAAGGAATAAGGCTGATGAGAGTTCTAGGCCCACCGATGGGGTGACACAAAGTGCAGGTGGGCCCTGGGGGGGAGCTCTTGGGGAGGGGAGACCTTTCAGTAGACCCCGCAGAGAGCTCCAGCTCTGTGGTCTGACTCTGAGTCAGCCTGTCTCGGAGTGAAGGTCTTGGCCAAGGCTCCGACTTGGTGCTCAGCCTCTGCCTGGGTTCCTCTGCGGCCTCAGCTGGCACCAGGCCCCACCATCTCTTCCCCAGCCTCCACTGCCTTCTCTTCCCTTCCGCCCAGGGAGGAGGGGAGGAGGGGCTTTGTTCTTCCAACCCAGACTGGAAGCAGCAGGGCCCAGGCAGCGTGCGTCCAGACACTGAAGCTCTGTTCTTGGGGGGAAGAAAGGCCTCTTCTGTACGGTGGGGAGTTGGAGGCGGGGTTTGTCACCAGGATGGCGGGCTGCAGAGGGGCCCGGCCAGGCCTCTCTCTCTCCTGACTGCCCTGGCGCTAGGCAGGGGTTGAGGGGTGCACCGGCAGTTCTATAGCTTGGAGCTCAGAAGGGAGCAGCTTGGAAACGGGGGTTTCAACCTGAGCCACACAGCTGTCCCTGTCCCAACCATGCCACCTTCCACCCTTCTGCAGCCCCGCATGAGAGCCAGAGAAGTGTTAGAGGGCCTGCCTTTACCTTCCGGATCTCCCCATTGGTAAAGGGCTCGGGCAGGGGACCTACGGGAAGGAAAAAACAGCAGAGGTGAGTCCAGAAGCTCTGGGGAATGCGGACAGAGTGGTGCCTGGAGAGGAGGGAGAGCTTTGGGGTTTAGGCCATAATTAGACCTTGTTCCCTACGTCAGTGTTTAAGTATCTTGACTGCAACCTTCTACAAGTATGTCTGACTTTCTGGTGACCCAGCACACACACAGAGACTACACACGTGTAACAGAAGTTTCACGAAACAACATTTCCCCTTCTGCTTCGTCAACGCTCTCCAATGTTTTTGATTCAGTTTCGTTCAAAGAAGTATGCTGGTCTCTGCTAAGTTGATCTCATGAACCACTGATGGGTAATGAGCTATTTGGAAAACC